TGTAATGCTAGTGTATCAACAGTCTATTTGGGAGAGTCTTCAACCTCTTTTGATGAGTCTCCTTGAAGATAAAAGATAACTGGCACTTTCCTTTCAACAGGAGGTTTATTATTTGGAGACCCACCAAATACACTCAGCCAAATATGTTTCAGATGGTTCTGCAAAAACCCATGACAGGTGCAGTAACACTCAGCAGACATACCTGTTTAAGATCTTCAGGCATCTCAGAGGACCTCAGGTCTTGAATCAAACACCTTCCCTTTGATGAAGATGATTTTTTCCTTAAATGATAAATGTGGCAAGGTTTTGATGGCCTAAACACACGGGCATTGACACACAACATTTGCAGCAGTGCCAGAGGCAATACAAAACAACATGGAAATGATCTTACCCATATTTTAAAACAGATCACCCTCTGATATGTTTTGAGTACCTCACTATTACAGACAGAAGAGTAAATATAGTACATACAGGTCTACTTCCTCTTCCTCAATAAAACAAAAAGCAAGGAACTTCTTTCCAAAACCAAGATTGATAGCTTCACAGAGTTGCCTATCCTTGTTATTCCTTCTTACACTAGAACTTTTCCTCAACACCTGACACATTGTTACTACCAGTGCCTGGGTTTTATCCATCATGACCCATGGCTATACTATAGAATTTAATAAACTTTCTCCAACAGGCACTGTTACATAACTGCACCACAGATATTCTGACAGAAAAGATTCCAACATTACTTCACAAAAATGCCAAAGCCCTGGTTGTTGATAAAAGGCGACTTCTTGTCTCAGTACTATAAAATACTGAGGAAAGATGGAGGCCTGTGACCTATCTTAGACCTCAGAGTATACAGTATCTCTCCGAAGAAGTTTTGTGTGGTGACAGTATCAGCCATAGTTTTGCTTCTGAAAGAATGAGATTGGTTTGCTGTTATAGACCTAAAGGAGGAGTACTTCTATATCTCCATCAGACCAGACCACCCTCATTTTCTGAGATTTGCTTTGGGAAGAAAGATAAAGAAGTTCAAGGTGCTTCCTTTTAATCTATCAGTAGCACCCAGAGTATTTACAAAGTGCATAGCTTCAGTGGCAGCTTACCTTTGGGTTTGGTGAATAAACGTTTTTCACTACAAAGATGATTGGCTACTGGAGACAGACACTCAAAACATCCTTCAAAGAAATAGACAATCCACACTCTTTTTACTGTCAGATCCTGGTCTTTGCGTCAACCTCCTGAAATCCCATCTGGCATCCTCCAGAGTTGACTGTATCTATCATAGTCAGTTTTACGGGTTAGTCTATGTTAAGTTCTAACTGGAATGAAGCAGTGGGAAAGTCGCTTGTGAACTGTCACAGTAGCATTTGCAGCAGTAAAGTCGCTTGTGAACTGTCACAGTAGCATAAACAGAATGTGAAACATACAGCACAATATTTGGGTTGCAAGTTGGCTTCAGAGGTCCTCCCGAAATACTGTATCATTTGGGAGGGCCAGATGCAGTAGAGGGCAGGGTTCTGGCACCTATATTGGCAGTAGCTTGCATGGTTGAAATTCTATCTTTTATATATCTATTAAAGATGTAGGATCCTGTCCTCTTTTGCTTCGTGTCAGGAGTGCAACTGATCAGAAATGCAACTACTGTAATAACTTGTCCTGAATTCCCACCCACCCTGAGTCAAATTTTCCTATCTGTGGAGAACTTCCCCACCAAGGTGAAGCATGCCACCACTTCCTTTTAGATTTCTTTCAAACTTCTTTTCAGTCATTCCTTTTTAAAATATTTCGGCACAAATCTCCAATATGCTTTATAAGAATAGTGTAGAGACCATCAAATTTGGAGGACCTTCTGGTTGAGCATCAGACTTATACTTAAGGGCCCCCAAAAATCTCCTCAGAGATTTTTTTTTATCAACAGTTGCTTAACATCTGCTCCTAGAGGCCTTATTGGAGCAGTGGCATGTACATCATGGTCATTTGTGTGGCTCCTCTAAGGCCCCAACTCTCTTAAAAAAAAAAAAAAATCCAGAAATTCTAAATCTAGGTGTTTTTTTTAATCTAAATGCTTGTTTGTTTGTTTCCCTCTAATATCCAAATCCAGCCAATTTCCAGCTTCACTCTGGGAAGCCAATGAGCTGCTGGTGGTGGCTGAGCTGGAGGGGGGAAACAGTTTTGGTCCCCAAGTTCTGTGTGAGGGAAAGACGAACAAAAAATTTCTGTTTGTAGGTTTCTTTGCCTTATAGTCTACATTTTGTTCTGTATTGTTAAGCTTTCCTGTAGCTAGTCATCTGAAAAAGAAGCTAAAATAGAATAAACTTAAATTTAAATACAATTAAATTAAAATTAATGCCAGGAAGCTATAAATGTACAACAACACCAGGTGTAAAATAGTTGAAGAAGGAATGGGAGGCAGCAAATGACTGAAGAGGAGGGATAGAGTAGATATGGAATATAGTTTTTTCAGAATTGCTGAAGAGCCTGTTTGCAGCAGATGATATGACATTAGGTGTGTCATGGGGAAACATTTTGCCCCGACAAGAAAAGAGTCCATTCAGATTAAATCACTTCATCACTTTGATGGCTAAATGACAAGTCTTGCCAAAGTTCATACATCAGACATCTGTGTCTCTGAAAAATCTCGCATTCATAATAGGCTGTCACATTGAGTGACCAATTTCATTTTGCAGTGTGTTCTCTTTGTGAATTGGTGGATTGTCTCCTGATTGTCAAGCTAGGCCTGTATCCCCTCCTAAATTTGACGTTGTTACCAATCTTTCAATTATCTCTTTGTCAAGATTTCTTATCTCCATTGTGTTTTGGACAAAAATAAGAAAATGGGAAATATAATCCTTCACTGTCATACAGGTTGTTGGCTTGATTTGTAGCATCAAAGGTTTTTATGTTTGAAATGCATTCTGCTTGCAATTTGGAGCTACCCATTTCGAATTCTCTATGTGAAGATTAAGCTGGATTTTAGCTGGGCCAGATTTAAGGTCTGAGAGATGCCAAATAGATTCTCCTCGCTCTGTGTCAATTATTTTCTTTGAAATAGCATAAGTATTAGGGCAAAGGGTTATGTCAAAATCTATCAGTCTTATCAGATGGTTTCCCCATTCTTCAGCTGCTGAGGCATTTTATGAGAACTGATTGCTGAGTGTTAAAGTGACAGAGGTCTCCTAAATGTGAGGATTCTAAACCTCTGACAAAATGAGTTCATTAAACTATTGAGAAGTGGTTTTACCTAAGTGGTCATGCACATTTTCAAAGTTGTTGGCTAACAAGGGCAGTTAAAGATACAATATAAGGCTCCAAAATCCAGCCAGTTTTGTATGTGCGTATCTGCATATGTGTGGGTGGACGGGTGACTGATTTCAAAATAAATACTGTGAGTTGGACTGGACACTGATATAGCCAGTCATAACTGTTATGTGAGAAAACATTTCACTCATGTGTGAAGATTGTAAGTCTATGTGATCCTTAGGATTGCACACATTCTTTTTAAAATATGTATTTATTTTGAATCTATCCATTTTCTCCCTTTCTGCCATTCACAAGATGGCTTACAACAATAAAACTGTTACATCTACAAAGCCTAGTTCTAGAAACAATTATAATTCTAAACGTTAAAACATTGCTTTTAATCTGTTTTGATGTGATAATCTGTATGATTACTTTCCAATAATAAAATGGCTCACAACACGTTTAGTGTTGTCTGTTCTTTAAAAAAAAACTATGTTATAAGTCTCAGGTTTGGAAAAGGGTTGCATGTAAATGAAATAAATAAGTAAACAAACACAATTTTTTGTACACAGTGTGTAAACAACTAGTCCAAGCTGGATAATGGGTCCATTAATCGAGCATCTCAGGATGAGTTACAAAGTACTTTCCCAAACCTTAGATGTTAGGTGTCTCTTTTTCCCTGGGTCATTGTTCAGTGAACAACTTTCCACAGAGTACAACGTTCTAGATTTCTCAAGCCATCTGCGTATGCTAAGGTCTTTTCCTTGATCTGCAGTTTCTAATCTTGCACATGTAACAGCATACAAATTGCATGCTAAGTGTATGTGCATTCTATGAAAACCAACATAGGGAAGAATAACAAACTGATTAATATCTATGAATGTGAAGAGATTCAGTTTTTTTCTTTATTGAAAGATTATTACCAATATCTAGAGCAATACCAATTTTTTTTAAAAAAGCAAGTTCCTTGTGCTGTGAGTGATAAATGCTTCCTTCCATGAGGTTCAGGAGAACCTGAACTTGAAGTCCTTTCAAAGTAGGAAGCTGTATTCGCAAGAAGAAATTGTCAGGTGCCAGACAGTATCTTATTACAAGATGGCTGTTTAAATTTATTGTCTGAATATGCTACATTACTATGTCTTTTCCAGGAAAGCAGAGTTGCCGCACTAGTTCCAGCTCTGACTTTCAAATCTATCTTTTTTAAAATTGTGGACCAAAAGTGTTGTTCACATGATGTGTGTCTTGTACAAACAGTGGTTATGTTAATTTAAATTATTCCATGTAAATCTAGTTGGAAAGAATTGGTAAATAAATAGGACAATGTAATAGCTTTGTTTAGTTTATATTGCTCAGCACTCTGTAGGAGACTATTTCTAATGAACTAAGAGTCTATCTAAATAATTAAACAAGTTAATATTTCTGCTTGACTGGTCAATTAAAACACCCCTTAGTCTTTTAAAAATAAGCGTATAGATGCGTCTTGGGAAACAACCAAATGTGAAAGATTTATTATGCTATATTCATAAGAACAAACGGTAATTGTGCAGTAGACCAAAAAGAAATGGCCCTATATTTTGTGTTGAGTACTAATTAGAATGCAAGAAATGAAAAGAAAATAGTTTCTTTGCATATGAGGTGCTATTAATTACAGTATAGGCTATTACATGCAAGATGTATTCTGTGAACATTTGACATCATTCAGAGTTTATATATGAGAATTTTCATACTAGCTCAATTTTTTAAATTTTGATTTCACTTTTCTTTAGAGTGTTTCTGAGAGCTATCAACAAATTTTCAGAGACCATGAACCAGAAGTTTCTGGAAAACATGAACTTCGAAGAGCAAGTGAGTGGCTATTTGGTTTTAGTTATGTTATACTGTATCATATTTTCTGGAGCCTATTTGCATGCACACAGCATATTTTTCAAGTGGCAGTCAATATACAAGAACATTAGAACATTAACATTAAAATGAATTGCTGAATCTTTTCGTCCAGTCCTGGTCTTCTGTATTCTGTGACATTCCATGCCTGATATCTCAGCATGTTAAAAAGAACACAAGATATGACACTACTTCTAGATGAATTTTTATCAGGATATAATAATGTCACAATATTATTGCAAAAACTACACTGAGGATTCTGTCTCATCTGGCCACTACATATGATTGTCAATTTGGCTGTAATTAATTCTTAGCTTAGTGCATTAACCACATTTGTTCTTCTGTTTCGATATGGATGGAACTGCAAGGGCTCAAGGCAGGCTTTTATCTTCAGCAAGAGATGAGATTGCAAATTCATATTTTCAACACCTGTGTCTCATGTGAAATCTACAGACTCTATAGGGTCTCTGTGACAGTCTGGATTCAAGACCCGTAAGCACCATACCTGCCTGATTTTTGACTACAGTATTTACCTTTGCCCTAAATCACATACCATCCTTGCCTGAGGAAGAGATCTGGAGAACGTAAAAACTTATCTTATGTATAACTTCTAATTGATCCAGTAAGGTGATTCACATAGCAATGGCAATGCCTCACACTTTAGTTGCTATGATTCTTCATATTGTTCAGAGTGAAACCCCCCTTCCATTTTGATATGATTTATGCAGTCTATATCCATGTCAGGGTTTGCACTTAATGTCAAAATTTAACTTCAGAAGTTTAGAAAAGCACGGAACCAGGAAGCAGAAACTACTTGACCCCCTGACACACAACTCTGAACATCCTATGCACCCCTTAGAGGCTGATTTTTTTTAAAAAAAACACTGCTCAATATTCAGGAGCAGTGTTTAGAGAAAAAGCGCTACTATATCTGTATAATTGATCAACTGAGTACATAGCTTCGAGTCATTTCTGACTTATGGTGACCCATTCCAGGATTTTCTAGGTATCGAGTACACTGGAGAGATTTACCAATCCCTTCTTCTGGGGCCACTCTGAGACTATGTTGCTTGCCCAGGCCCATGCAGGCTGGCTGTTCTCCCTCCTCTCATCTCTCTCTCTCTCTCTCTCTCTCTCTCTCTCTCTCTCTCTCTCTCTCTCTCTATCTATCTATCTATCTATCTAGTTAGCTATCTAGCTGTCTGTCTGTCTGTCTGTGGTAGAAAAGAAGAAAACACATTTTACAATGGTCCTTGAAACTGGTCCAAGAGCTTTAGTTAACTCTTTTCTCACTTGGTGAATGCTTTTAATTGCCTCTGTAAATAAAGCTTTCCCTGTTTTTAAGTGAACTTAATGCTTGTGGAATCATGCCAGCCTGAACATATGTTCACAGAGCTGGCCATTTTGCCCCTCAGCCACACAGCAAGCACAGAGTGGCCATCTCAAAAGGGAGGCCATGTTTTCTGACTTTGGCTCTTCAGTGGCCCATGTGCTGACTTGGAGGGAGGATTTCTCAGAACATTAGAAGCTAATTCTTTCCCTGTGCCTTTTCTAGTTCATGTTTACATGAAGTGAACAATTAGAACAGTGTCATTTGTCACTTGGATACTCTTTGTTGCCTCACAGTTAAATCTGGCTCTATCAAAGGATGAAGACATGTTGACTTATCACAGCAAAAAATGGGGAAAGAGGGTCACGTTCCCCTTTTGTGGATGCATTGATTGTCTCCTTAACATTGTAGTATCTATAGAATTGAATGAACAAAGAAATTAAAAATAACTTTCTGCATCATTCGGACTGTGAAACAATACTCACGTACAGTAAATTAATTTTAATTTTAAAAGAGTCCATGTCTTGTGTTTGTTCTTCAGGATAAACTGTTCTTCAATCTGCAGCAGGGGTGGGAGGGGGTCTGTTTTATTCTGGCCTTAAGCATATTTATTGCTAACTCAGATTAATTTTTCATCATCTTGCCTCCTATCAAATTACAGTAACAAACGATGTGACCCTACTTTTTGACAGCATCCATCACTTAATGTTTTCCTTACTTTGCAAGTCTGTTTGATAAATAGAAATGGGTGTGTGACAGTTACACAAATTATCCTTTTGAAGTTCTGATGGGAATATAAATGATTCTGCTTATTGCAACAGAGGCAGTTTTGTTAATTTTAGAGATAGGAAAAAATAACATAAATAAAATCAGACTATGCCCTCCTTCAGAGTTCAGAAAATTACTTTCAAGAACAATGAACGTAACAATGTGCTGAAGCCACCCTTAGCTGAACAATGATAGCATAATGCTTTCAGTTCCAGCGCCCTGTTCTATCACTGATATGTCGTCAATATGCTGTTATAATCATTCTTTTTGGAAGCAGTATTCCATTTGTCTTTCTGAAGTTATAGCACCATCATGTGTGAAAAGTGAGGGTGGGAATAATGTGTATGGCAGCTAAATATAAGCTGGTCCTGGCTATGCTAGTGGAGTAACGTTTACTACCAGACTAGTTCAAAGGGACTATGATGGCTCATTGCTAATTAAGCTATGGATTTAGAAAGTCCTAAGTGATTTAAGGGACGTGGTGGCGCTGCGGGCTAAACCACAGAAGCCTGTGCTGCAGGGTCAGAAGACCAAGCAGTCGTAAGATCAAATCCACGCGACAGAGTGAGTGCTCGTCGCTTGTCCAGCTCCCGCCAACCTAGCGTTTCGAAAGCATGCAAATGCAAGTAGATAAATAGGGACCACCTCAGTGGGAAGGTAACAGCGTTCCTTATCTAAGTTGCACTGGCCATGTGACCACGGAAGATTGTCTTCAGACAAACGCTAGCTCTATGGCTTGGAAACGGGGATGAGCACTGCCCCCTAGAGTCGAACACGACTGAACAAAAATTGTCAAGGGGAACCTTTACCTTTACCTAAGCGATTATTATGTTTTCCTCATGCATAGGCCAATGGAAGTACAACAGACTGAGGGAGAGTGCTCCTGTTTCCAGCCAGACAACATATGGATCCACTCATGCTATGCATGTGTTAATGAGGATATATGAGGCAAGGAAGACTAGGTGCAGAGACCTCTATGGATGTAGACTTTCCAAGATCCAAGGAAGCTTTCACAAATAAAAGTGTGCCCACAGGGTGTTCAGGTCTCATGGCACTAGCTGAAGTCTCATGGAATTGCTGTGCTTTTTCAGGTCTTCAAGCAGGATAACAAATTTTTGTGTGACCAGCACCAGAGGAGGAAATAGTTTGATTTACTTGTGTAGAGGAGGTTTAAATCCATTTCCATTTTTCCCTACCTGGCCTCAGGGCTCAATGGCTTAGCAGAAAATTATTTCATGTATGTACATTGTTCTATGTTCCTTGCACAATAACTAGGAAGAACAGAACAGGTGTGCCAGTGGGTATGTACACTTGGAATCATGCCCTTTGGCATAAGTCAGGGAGAGGAACACTAGCATTATAACTTGAGCCTTTTTGTTGTACAAGGTCCGTCCACAGTAGTGGAGGAACTGGAGAAAAATCTTCCTATCGGCTATAGAGGTGAATCTTCTACAGCTCCAGCAATAGTGTCAGGATCTGGCCCATACTGTCCTGGCAGCTGCAGGATCAGGGCCAGGTGTTTGGAGGCTCAGGCCCTGGCCTGTCTAGTAGCTGCTGGGCCACTTATGAGGCTCACATGGAAACCTGGAGGGAAGACATATTTAAGGAGTGGTTCTCCCTCCCTGAACTTGCCTCACCAATAAAAGTCTTTGGCTGTTATGTGTTTACTGTATGGCTGCTCCTGAGTGCCAGAGTCCTTGTGTTCCAGTATCTCTGTATCATCTGCTCCTGCCTCTTGGTGCCTTGTTCCATCTCTGTGTTCTCAGACTTGTGCTCCTGCCTCTGGTTGGTTATGACCAACTGTGTAGTGAGTGGCAAAAGCAACAATCAGGAAGAAAAAACATTCTATACAGTCTAGAGCCAGACAGAGCTTGGGAAATTTACTTTTACAAATAAGAGCAAAAGAACTCGGTCTGCATGACCATGGCTCTGGGAATTGGCATTCAAAAAAGTTATATCACAAGCTGTAATGCCATGCCCAAACCTACAACTCAGGTAGAGTTGAAAGAAAACATAGCAATGACCATTAATGAGGAGCAGCTGAGGAAGGCAGTTGTCAGTGTTGATTTATAAAGTATTTAAATATTTTTATCACATCTTTCTCCTTAGAAAAGGACCCAAGGTGGCTGACAGGATTTAAAGGCAATAATTAAGAACAAAACAATTAGTATACAAAGGTGGTGCACAGAGCCATGAAGAGGACTGGAAACCTCTGACAACCACATTTAAAAATAGCCCAACCTCTCATTCTCCAGAATTCAACAGCTTCTTTACACTACCATTTCCCTCAAGTATTGCTTGCAGTTTTTAGTGGATAAGTAAGCCTACTTTGGACAAAAATAGGAGAACAATCTAAATAAATTATATGGTAAATCCAGATACAGCTCTAACTGAAGGGGATATTGATATATTTTTAAAACTGATAAAGGGAAGAAAAGCTGTCTTCGCGAAGGCTTTCACGGCCGGGATCTGATGGTTGTTGTGGGTTTTTCGGGCTTCTTGGACGTGTTCTGAAGGTGGTTTTTCCTAATGTTTCACCAGTCTCTGTGGCCGGCATCTTCAGAGGACAGCAAACTGTGCTCTGGTGTAGTTTGGCTAGGGCGTGGAGTATTTATGGCTGTGAGATGGGATGATTAGTGTGGATTGTTGTGGGTGTGCCCAAATACTCCATAAATAAACTACACCAGAGCACAGTTTGCTGTCCTCTGAAGATGCCAGCCACAGAGACTGGTGAAACGTTAGGAAAAACCACCTTCAGAACACGTCCAAGAAGCCCGAAAAACCCACAACAACCATCAGATCCCGGCCGTGAAAGCCTTCGCGAATACAGCTTTTCTTCCCTTTATCAGTTTTAAAAATATATCAATATCCCCTTCAGTTAGAGCTGTATCTGGATTTACCATATAATTTATTTAGATTGTTCTCCTATTTTTGTCCAAAGTAGGCTTACTTATCCACTAAAAACTGCAAGCAATACTTGAGGGAAATGGTAGTGTAAAAGAGCTGTTGAATTCTGGAGAATGAGAGGTTGGGCTATTTTTAAATGTGGTTGTCAGAGGTTTCCAGTCCTCTTCATGGCTCTGTGCACCACCTTTGTATACTAATTGTTTTGTTCTTAATTATTGCCTTTAAATCCTGTCAGCCACCTTGGGTCCTTTTCTAAGGAGAAAGATGTGATAAAAATATTTAAATACTTTATAAATCAACACTGACAACTGCCTTCCTCAGCTGCTCCTCATTAATGGTCATTGCTATGTTTTCTTTCAACTCTACCTGAGTTGTAGGTTTGGGCATGGCATTACAGCTTGTGATATAACTTTTTTGAATGCCAATTCCCAGAGCCATGGTCATGCAGACCGAGTTCTTTTGCTCTTATTTGTAAAAGTAAATTTCCCAAGCTCTGTCTGGCTCTAGACTGTATAGAATGTTTTTTCTTCCTGATTGTTGCTTTTGCCGTTATATTCCCCTTGATTGCTGCTTTTGGGGTTATACTCCCCTGCACCAGCAATTTCCCTTAGGGTATCATCCTATTCTGAGGGGACGCTGATGCAGACATGTCCTGCTACAGAGCTTGCTACCTCGCCTGTCATCCCAAACATTAGTTGAAATTCACAGATCTCATTTAATTTAGAAATGCCCAGGTTTGTTTCAGTAAAACTTGCTTGTTTCAGTAAACTGGATTTAGAATAATAGCAGTAATTTGCTTTCCAGATGCCCTTTTGGGAAATTGGGGGGTAGGGGCGGAGAGGGACTGAATCAGTGATTAACATGCTGCATTTCTATTAAATAAAGGCATTTATTTTAAAAACGCAAGCATCTATGTAGCTCTATTTTATATCATTACCTACAGTTCCTATGCTGCTTATTGAGAAGTACATGACAGTGAATATAATTGTTTATATATTTTAATAAGGCAAAAAACTTAATTAGTTTCTTTAGGCTTGGAAGCAGGAGAGAATATATTAAATTATTCTAAATTGTTGGCAGTATTGATGAGATGCTAATGTTCTAAAGTCACACTGTCCTGTCTTAATATTAAAATATTGATCACTTTATAAGGATGATATTCCGTAAACGTTATCACATAATTCATTGATCCTTTTAGTAAACCACAATGCATGTTATGTAGAAAAAGTATTTTATCTACTGTTGATGGATTACTGAAAGATGTACAAATAGAATCTTTAGTGTTCTTTTGTGTAGAAGAGACTCCATGATAAGCTTCAGTACAGCTATGCAGCACTGAAAAAGAACACCTCTGATCCCAACATAGCAAATTCTGACAGTTTTAAACAAGGGACAAATTATATCCCAACAGCTCTGTGAAAAGAAATCTTTGCAGTTTTCCTTCCTGAAGACAGATGGGCAAAATATCATTTTCAGTGTCACAAAAAACTGGGGTCATAGCAATGCAGAGCCCTTCGAAATATACTAAGCTATAAGAGGGTATATGACTCGACGTCCTTGGCATATTTTACCTGTGCTAAGTTCTTCAAAATCAGGGGGAGGTTTTTACTGCCACAAAGCCATGATTAGCTTGTGCCAACATAACACAAGTATCATGACACTGGTTGTTTGGTTTGGGGGAGTGGCGGCTAATTTGGGATATACAGAATTTTATGACCAACGCTGTAATTTGTTATTAGCTAACAAATCCCATAGGAATCCCCTGGTGCTACTGAGGGAATGTATGCCAGAGGATATAAAGATCACACTCTTGCTTTTAATCTATTTGCAAGGTAATAACAATGTATATCTTTGCATTACTGTATATCAAAACCTTTTGTTGCTCCGGCTAGTTGCTTTCGTGAATTATGAAAGGGCCCCAACATTTTAATATTACCTTTCATTCTTGAATGGCATTGCAACAATTCAGGGTTTTGTCTTCCCTTCCATTTACAGCTGTGGAACAACTACTTTCACCTTGCAGTGGCTTTCATCACCCAGGATTCCTTGCAGCTGGAACAGTTCTCCCATGCAAAGTGTCTGAAGATCCTGAACAAGTAAGCCTTTTAAATAATCTGAAAAACTACTTCTTTGTTTACTCAATAAAAGCTATAATAAAAGTAACATCTTCTCTCTTCCATTGCAGGTATGGAGACATGAGGCGTCTAATTGGTTTTGCTATCCGTGACATGTGGTACAAACTTGGTAAGTAAGCACAGTCTGAGGCACGTATTTACCAAACCTCCTTCTATATGAGGAAGATTTCTAATACATCAAATTATTGGTTTTGGTTCATTTTTGTGTAAATAGATAAGGCCTTGTCTTTATGTGCAGTGGGGAGCAACTTGCCTGATGTGAAAGCTTCTAAATGTATGAAGTTGCCTACAGTTGGAGATGGGCACAAATCAGAAAAAATGGAGATTCATTTTGATTCGTGATTCACCAAGGTTGATGAATCATGATTTACAAATTCACATTTTTTCCTGACAAATCAGCAAATTGATTCATTTCTTTTACTTTAAAACCCTATAAAATGGTGCCCAAGGCACTTGCAGGAAAGTTTTCCCTGATTCTCCTCCACAATCCCTTCAAGTCTTTCCCTGATTCTCCTCTACAATCTCTCCAAGTCAGGTGAAGCTTGGGTTTCAGACATCCAAGTTATACAACCACAAAGAGGATTCCCTCTGCAGTCAAGTACCCTTTAGCAGCTCACTTGGGGAAGCCCAATCTTCACAAAACTTGGAGGGACTGTAGAGAAGAGTTTTGGGCATTGATTTGTATGAATACAGATTAACAAATTAGCTGTTTTTAAATTAGTTTAGTGATTCCTTTTTTATTTCGTGCATGTCTCCAGATTGGTCCATCCATGTAAAGTGAAGCAGGAAAGTGAAAGAAATAGTAGCAGGGGAAATCCTTGTTTATTTGGTCCTCACCTATGAACACAAGAAGTTGGAAAATTATTCTTCTCACCCCATAGAAGGGCAAGGTGCTCACTGCATGTACTGGCTTTGCTTTCAAATAGAAAGGACAATATTTTTGCACAGATAAAAGGGTGCAAATTATAGAGACCTTGGGTAGAAAAAAGAACTTTTGCCTAAAGGCGAGGAATTCAGCAAGGTTTGAAATTATTTTGCCTTGTTGAATTGAAACAAGCTCAGTAGATAAGAATGAAGAATTCAGCAATTATTCTCCATGCTCCTGCTGCTAGTGCTCTATAGCTTCTTGAAAACTTTGTAACTTTGGCAGTTTCACAGAGATGGTGTAAAAATGGGGATCATCTCAATCTAATTCACTTTGGATATCACTTTCCAGAGAGGACCCGACTGTCTTGCCTGAACTTCCCATGTCTGAGTGTGATTTTAGAAAATGAGTTCCTTTCCAAAAAGCCTAACAGTTTTATGGTGAATGTCTAATGCTTGTGAATAACTAGTGTTGGTAGGGGAAGAATGACTTGTTGGAAATGTTGTGTTGGAGAGATGCTATGGACCTCAAGAAAGACAAATAAAGGGGTTCTAGGTCAAATCAAGCTGAACTTTCACCAGACGCTGACATAACTAAATTGAGCCTATCATACTTTGGACATATCATAAGATAAGACTCACAGGAAAAAAACCAATAATGCTGGGAAGAATTGAACGCAGTAGAAAAAGGGAAGACCAAACATGATACAGATGGATCCGCCTAGAGTGGTCATTTGACCAGATAGGCAGGGTACAAATTGGATGGGTGGATGGGTGGATGGGTGGATGGATTCAATAAAGGAAGCCATGGCCTTGTGTGTGCAAGACTTGAGCAGGGTTGTTAATGCAGGACCATTTGAAGGTTGTTAATTCATAGGACCCTGATGTTGGGAAAGTGTGAAGGCAAGAGGAGAAGGGGATGTCAGAGGACGAGATGGCTGGAAAGTGTCACCGAAGCTACCAACATGAATTTGACCCAACTCTGGGAGGCAGTGGAACACAGGAGGGCCTGGCATGCTCTGGTCTATGGGGTCATGAAGAGTTGGACATGACTTAACAACTAAACAATAAAAAACAACAATTCATAGGATCATAATAAGTAGGAAGTTGTAACACTTAACAACAGTAATAATGCTGCTACACATGTGCTGATATCAAACGACAGGTTTAAACATTGTTTTTCAAAAGTAATTAGTTGCAGTCATTGTGCTTAGTCAACAGAAAGGTTCTTAGCTATGGCTGCATTTCCAGTTTTCAAAAGGTAACATTTTACCTTCCCATTTCTCAAAAGTGCCTACAGAATTATTTATTTATTTAAAAAACCACACATCTGCATACTATAACCTTCTCTGTTGCTGCTCTCAGACTCTGGAATTCCCCCACATAGGAGACAAGATTGGCCCTAACTTTGATGTCCTTCCACAAGCAGACAGACCTTTTTCTTCAGGCAGGCTCTCCTTTAAATGACTGGTTGACCAAGAGTATTTTTAAAGGGATTATTTTATTGTTTTATGTGTGCTTTTAATATTGCTGATTTATAGATTTTACTATATCTGTTTAATTCTTTTTTCATATTGTAACAATTTATTGTTTTAGTTTTTAAATTTATTTTAGTACTGTAGACTACTTTGGATCCTTTAGGAACAAAGCAACATATGAACAAATAAATAAATAAATAAATCATTGCACTGTAAAATAAGTCAGCTTATGCTTCATTGGTGGAAGTCCTGTTACTTAGCTCCCTGTGTGCAAAGAGAATGATGTTATCAGTGGCAGCAAACTGCTGCTGATTAAAATCTTCCTTTGGTGATGGCAGGGTACACATGACTCACATACAATGAGAAAAAGTTGCATGAGCCCTGACATCACCAAAGGAATCCTTTAATCAGTAGCAATGTGCCTCGGCTTGATGACATTGTTCCTGTTATGCATGCAGAGCTACAGAACAGGATTTCAGCCTATAAATCACAGCAGTGTAGTCTTGTTATACCTTAGTTATTGGGAAAGGGGATTGGTTTCATTTGAGTTCTGTAGTTACGACACATACACAGATATTTGAATTGAAACAGTCTTACCTATTTTTAATTTTGATTCCCTTATCACATTAGAATTCTCTTTTGCTTTATGCATAAGCATGAAATACCAAAAGACCAATGAGTTCTCTTCAGAAGCAGATAAAGTATTTGGATTCCCAATTCCCATTCAAATTATCGAGTAGATGGATGTCCAATCTCTGTTGGAGTAAAAAAGTAGGTGGGTAGGACTGAACAATCTATGTCTGGCTTTGATTCAATTACAGTAAAGTCAGTAGGAATTCAACTAAGATGACAGAGGTTATAATTATTATTTTTTAGTTGTTTTCTGCCCATTATGTGCTTTTCTTACAATATGTATGTGAAATAAGTCATTGCGAAATAAAGCAAACACCTGAAAGAATAATACCGAGTAGCACCAATGTTACCCCTTCCTCTCTGGGTTTAAGTTAAGTTTAGGTTAAGATGTTTTGAAGCATAAAAAAAGAAAACAAGAAAACAAAATAAAAATAAACTGTGATAGCGATGCCATTCTACATATGCAGTATAGACAGGCACTTAGACATGGGGATGAATAAAAAAATGAAACAATATTCATAAAAAATTGCTGATTTGTTAAATCTTTGTCCCTTCATATTCGTGAGTTCCAGAGAACCTGATGAATATGAAAGGGATAAATATTTGTCCATTTCTATTTGTCCCCCATACAAAGAAAGGGAGGCCTATTGCTCTCCCACTCTGCCTATGGACCCACCAAGCAGTTATCAGCAGGCCCATAGGCAGGCAGCCGGACCCACAGCCTGCCTCCTTCCCCTCCCTCTCTAAGCTGCTACCACTATCCGCTGCCACCTGGCACTGCCACCATCCATTGCTCCCCACTTCAGTGGCTTCCGCAGCCATGGCCTGCCATAAGGGACACAGCCTACCCTTTGCAAAGATGGCTGCTGCAGCTTCTTTTAGGACACAGATCACTACGGATGGTGGTGGCAGCGGCATGGACTGCGAGCCCAGATGATGGCAAGGTAGGAAGGTGACAGTGGTAGTGGAAAGGGGGCAGGTTGTGGGGGGGATCAGCTTTAAAAAGAGAGAGAGAGACAGCCTTCAGCTGTCTTAATGAACAGCTGATGAACCAATGAATTGATTTGTGGTTCATCAGTTTATGGGGAGGAAGTTCATGGTTCGTGGTTCATCAACTTTGACGGATCACAAACCAGGAAGAACTGCCATTTTGGAGGTTCATCCCCATCTCTACTGGTAATGTAACCATGACTGCATTCAAATATACACTCTTCTAAGTAGGTTGGTGTAGGACTGAAGCCTTAGTTTGTGTTCTCCTGAGGGTAGCATTTAGTGTTGTTTATGTGCGGTTTTGCTTACTAATTTGGCAGCATTTTTTTTGTTTTCAAAACTATATGTTTCTGTGCAGATGGAAAATCCCTGTCTTTAAAACTAGATGTGCAAAGTAACATAGTAAATAAATAGCATTTTAAAAAATTATAGCTATTTGTTCATTTTTATATCCAGATGGGACTATACTTTTATTTTAGCTAGTTTTTAAAAACAACACTAAAACAAAAAATAGTTTGGGGAGCAAGCTGCCAGCATATTCTGCTAAGACAGAAATAGCAACAATTAAAACTGTGAAAGCATCTGTTTAATATCCAATTTAAGTGAAAAAGAATAACTTTCTTATTTCACACATTTTTAAAAGTGCTGAAATATATCTTATAATAATAGTAATCTTAGAATTGCAGAAATTGAAGGGTCCCTGCGGATCATTGAGTCCAGCTCCTGCTAGGGAGACATAGTGGGGAATTGATCTCTCAACCTCTGGCTCCACAGCCAGGTACCTAAGCCACTGAGCTATCCAGGAGTTTTTTTTGAGGGGAGCAAAACTATATGGTAATAGAGGGAAATTGTCATGTTGCATACATGTTGCATAAGTTTGCCATCAGGCAGGAACAAGGGTTCAGAAGACATTTTTCTTTCAGCTTATCATTTTCAGCAGCTATACCTCTTTATATAATCCTTATCTGCCAAAATCAATGTTATCTGAAGAAGCAGAATACAATCCATGCATCATTATGCAAAATAAATTTTCTTAGTCTTTAATAGGTCCAAGGCTTCGTTGTTTTTGTTGCAACAGAATTCAGACTAACAAAGCTAACCCTATAGAAAATTATTAAATCATTACATCGGTTTGGCTAAATTTCAGTGGCTAAAATCCTGTTGTGCAGCTCCATGTGGGTAACAGGAATGGCAGCAGCAACAGCAGCACACTGATTAGCGACTTCCTTTGGCAATTTCCGTGTGCATGTGACTTGTGCACAATGTGACAATATCACATGTATCCCAAAATCGCTAAGGGAAGCCTTTAATCAATGGCATTTTGTTGTGGTTGCTGGCATCATTCCCACTGCTCCTATCAAGCTGTGCAACAGGATTTCAGCATGTGTGCCCATAAATCCTCCTCTAGGTTGTAGGTAGTATATAAATGATCCCCAAGTAAATAAAATATTCCACACATAGTATTAAATGGAATTTGCCTGGAGGGCAGAGGAAGATCAGAATCGGGGCCATTGAAGTGGTTCCCGATAGTGGTTCCCCCTGCTCCCTTTCAGTCCTTTCACCTTGTTCCATTCCTCCAATGATATTCTTAATTTGAAGCATACAGGTGACCCATATTTAATAGCAGAGATTTTAGCAAGTTTTTGGATTTGAGTCCCAAACCTGAGTCTGTGTTTTTGGTACCAAGTCCTAAATCAGAGTTTTTGTTACCAAGTTCTGAGTCCCGAGTCCAAGTCCCTGTTACAAACCAGCTTTTCTCCCCAGAAAAAAGGAGGGGGTGGGTGTATTCCAAGTCAGGAGTCAAGTCTGAATCATTGGGGGGGGGGAACCCATGATTTGAAGCCAAGCCAAGTAACTGGTGCAGCTTAAGTCTGACTTGACAGCCAGTCCTGCAACTAGAGTCCCCAACTCTGGTTAATAGAGGAGTAGTGGGTAGTTTTTATATACTGTATATCTAAACAGCTATGTAAGTCCCTCTTACACTTTCCAGATAAAAAGTATACAGAACTGTAGATTTCAAGGTTTCACTTCCAGCTGGGAATTGAGACCTTGAAAAACAACACTGCTGCTGTAAATTCTGCGCTGTGCTTGTATTACAAGGTGCCTCCTGACAGAATGTAATGCAGCAAATCAAACCTAAAGCAGACCACAGTGGTTAGTGCGTCACCCCCCCCCCAACAATCCGCCTTCTCAGGCATTATTACACAGTGCCATTAAAGGCAAGAAGCAAACAGTTCATGCCTTACTACATTTTATTTTATTTTCCTCACAAAACCCATATCTGAGGAATATTTAAAACCTCATATTTCTGTTGGAGATGACATGTGGAAGGTCAGTCCATCATCATCTCTTTTTTTTTATAAAAATCATCAGTCATAAATGCAAATGTCTCCTCAGGCAGACTCTGAAGTCTCTCTGTTTCATGTGGCTCTTGAGCAGTCAATCCATAATGGAGTTACCAGGCCACTATTTCTATTCTGAGCTTTCTAATGGTTGACATTATTCATCCAGGGATGGAGGCAGATGGATTTTGTCCATTGTGACGAAGACAAGAGAACATGTCAAATGGCTACGGTGTAATGTTCGCTGATAGATTGGTTTTGAAGGAAAGGGTTAGGGGGGAATGTATTGTTTCCCACTATTTTATTTTTCAAGCATACTCAGCACTGAAATGTTTGAAACTGGAATGCTGACCGGGTGTGTAAGTCTGAATTCTCTGGGCCATTTCCCCTGATGTGTGAGGTGCTATCAGGTCTACCGTCTTGAATTGCAGATGTACTGTAGCAGTGGAGGGGGGGAAACAGAGCCTGCATAATACTACCACAATGGCAGTGGTAGCACTACTGCTTATATAATGGTAGCTTAGTATGTATATTATTTATATTGCATGTATATTATGCTTTTTTCGAAAGAATAAGGTGCTGAAAAAATCACATCCATTTACAGTATTCCTAACTGTGCAAATCATGGAATCACAGAATAATGTCCCCTTTTGCAATTTCTCCCCAGGGCAAAATAAAATTCGCTTTATTCCAGGAATGGTTGGACCGATCTTGGAAATGACCCTTATACCTGAAGCTGAGCTACGGAAAGCCACCATCCCAATCTTCTTTGACATGATGCTGTGTGAATATAGACACACCGGTGAATTCAAAAAGGTAATACAAGCTATATATGTATACTGTCATTACTGTTATTTAATCATAATTGCAGCTATATACCGTATTTTTCGCTCCATAAGACGCACCTTTCCATAAGACGCACCAATTTTTTAGGAGAAGAAAACAGGAAAATATAATCTGTTTTCTTCGCTCCATAAGACGCACAGACTTTCCACCAGCCCCTGTTTTGTGGGGGAAAAGTGCGTCTTATGGTGCGAAAAATACAGCTACCATTATGATATAGTTGCCATTATGATTAAATAACGATAATGACAGTATACTGCATACTCCTAAAATATTCTTAGAATGCCTAATATTTTCTGTGGAAACTTTTTATAGAAAGGAGAAATGCCATCATGCTAGTTTTGCATAAAATTACAAAAACATATACAGTAAATTTAAAGTGCCATCCTAGAATCACAGCATTACAAACACAGTAATACAAGTAAAAAATGGAAAAATTAAAGGGTTTATTAGACAGAACATGTGGTGTGGGATAAAATGGATTACACTGGTGTAAAAACATTTCAATTGAGTTGAAAAAAAGATGCGTATGGCTATAAGAGTATAAACACAAGAACATAAGAAGAACCCTGCTGGATCAGGCCAAGTGCCCATCTAGTCCAGCTCCCTGTTATCTCACAGTGGCCCCACCAGATGCCTCTGGGAGCACTAGATACGTCTCCTGAAATCCATCCACTGCATCTGCCATTTTGAGGCACATTCCTTCTATGTCTGGAGGCTATACATCCCCATCATGACTTGTAACCTGCAATGGACCTTTCCTCCAGAAATCGGTCCAGTCCCCTTTTAAAGGCATCTAGGCCAGATGCCATCACCACATCCTGTGGCAAGGAATTCCACAGACTAACAACATGCTGGGTAAAGAAATATTTGAATAGCACCCTAACTCACACCCAAGTAATATGGTTAAGGAAATGTAAATATAATTTTGCTACCTATTTATTATGCAGGTTTTAAATGTGACACACTTTGACATGTATGTGTACATACAGGTATGCCCCACAAGAGTTGTGAACCTGTTCATGGTATATACCCAGATTGTGCCAATGTGGACCTATTGACAGGTTTAGGAGAAACCTGGAGGAATTATTAAATACAGTTTTGTACTATGCAATAAGTATTTGTAAGGATCATTACTAAAGAAACAAGCAAAGCTAGAATTTATCCAGCTGAGTAAATTGTAACAGCTGAGAGAGCAATCCCAGGATTGGCTAACCCTGGGATAAAGCTAGCAGACCTAGCACACACACACTCTGTGGTGGTGTGGGTTGGTGTTGGCATGGATTGCTGTCATTGTCTTGTTGTGCTGGAGTATCCTGGAAGAAGCCGTGTCTTCGTGCTGTATATTGGAAGAAGAACTCTGGCTACTGGACTGAACATATGGTATTTTACTGCTGAACTAATTTATAAGGGCTTTTGACTCTGATTTATGCATTGAACTCTGTGGAAACTGCTGTGTATGACTTCAGGACTCGAAACAAGGACTAAGCTGTACATGTATGTATATATCCTGTAAATAATACAACTATTCTGCTATCAACACTGCTTTGTTGCTTGGCGTCTTCATCTCTGGGGAAGCTCTACTAGTTAGCACCACCTGGTGTATCCTGGTAATACCGCAACTCTGTCACCTGTGGAAGGTTCATTTCCCCCTTTAATATTATCCTTTCTCTTCCTGACCTTCAAATATTCTGAATGCATATTTTGTGGAATATGAAGTTGACGATGTAGCAGTTTAGATTTTGAAGTGCAATAAAAACTGCTCTTTTTTAATGATTAGCATGCTGTGATCCCTCCATGTTAATATATGCTGTATGGCTATATTGAGTCTTTTTTCCTTGCATTTATTGCTTATGCTTTAGAATTTTTAAAAAAAGATCAGAGAAACTTTTGTGTAGTGGTTAGTGCAATGGATATTGAATCACACATGCATGTTCAAAGAGCAGCTGTGATGCAGGCAATGGTACATTTATAATAATGGTACTCTCTATTGGTAGATTTCACATGGAAAGACTGTTATTAAATGCTCAGTATTTACTCTGCCAAATAAAGGAGAACCCAGCATGGCTTGTGGCTGAGGCATATGTGTTCACTGTGTTTTATTTTAAACATCATGATTATATCCGAGGAGCCTGCAACAGTCTGGCAGGTGGGATTACTGTTGGTAGCACAGCACAAAGCTTTTGGCCTGAGTCCAGGACTGAAAATCATTTTCTTTTTTTGCATCTGTTCTTCTCTTGTCTCAATAGTCCCCTATTTCCATTTTTAATTGCTGCTTCTTATTCTTGGCTTATAACTGTTTGAGTGCAAACAAACAGGTAAAATGACCCTAAACTGAAATGTGCAATTCAGAATAACTGCTTGACAAAGATAGCATCTGAAACATTCAGGAAATGGTGGATGCGACACTGACTCGAGATAGCATTCCAACATTCTGATGACAGTTCCCTTCAGTGTCAAGTAATAAGGTCATCTATTACATGCATTAATTATATAAATAATAATTGTATGCTGTCAAGTTGATTCTGACTTATTCTGACCTTTTCCAGGGTCTTCTAGGTATAGAGTACTCAAAAATGGTTTAAAGTTGCCTTCTATGTGCTCTAGGAATCTGCAGCTTGCCCAAGTCTACACAGGCTGGCTCTTGTCCCAGTGTGGAATCAAACTCCCAAATGTAACAGTTCATATCATTCTTGAACAGCTCTCACTTTTAAGATGTTGTTCCTGATGCTTAGGGGGTATGGAAATACCCATTTCTGTAAGTCTAAAAAAGTGACAGTGGGAACCCACCCATGAGATCAATCTTGGCTTAATGGCAGGAAGATGTTTCCCTTTTTCTTTCAGAGCCCACTAATATCTTCACCATGAAGAGAGAGAGGCTTGTCCTACACCCATCTCAGCATATAGTGGCCCATGCCTCTGTTCCAATCTGGGGGCTATGTATCCATTCCCAGATGGCAATCTGTGGTCCAGACTCACACCCATAATCTGATCTGGTGGCTACCTCCCAGTGCATGAGTTGTACTATTGCCACATGTCTATGCCTGAGTCCTAATCTGGTGGCTACTTATCAAAGACCAAATTCCAGTCCAGGTGGGTGGACTGACAGGAGGAAGGAGGTTCTGTGTTGTGCATGAATGTCCATATATTTTTTCTGAACTGAAAAATACTGATAGACGTACGTGCAAGAGGATGAGTTCTTATTCGTCATGGAGGCTGGAAGCTTTGACAAGCATTTGTCAGATGGTGATGAAAGCTGTATTACCATATGATACATCGGTTCATGGGGAGCATTTCAGTATGCCATTCAACTCAGCAAGCTGTACCTCTTTTGGGTGCATACATCTGTCTGGTGACAGTGCTTTAATCTATTTCAGTGCCATGATCAGTCACAGCAGAGCTTCTTTGTGCTTGAATAAAAATCGCATATGCACTTTGGTTTTCTAAATGCTGGCTGGGTAGCCCAATGAATCAGAAGTCAGTTTCCCACTGTGTCTCCTGAGAGAAGAGGCAATCTGTGTGTACCTGGCCAAACAGCACAGTCCCAGGATGACCACAGAAAGAAGAGGATGAGAACACACTTTTGAGTATTCTCTACCTAGGAAACCCTGGACAGGCTTGCCATAAGTCAGAATTGACTTGAACATGCAATTATTATTATTAATATATCTTTTAAGAGTTCAGAAATACAAAGAGGTCATAAAATGCCCTAGGGACAAACTCACTTAAAGGTATAGTTGAGATGGATTTTTGGTTATTAAATATTTTAGTTCTCATTATAGTCTTAATAAAAACCCTATCCAGTCAAATCACATGGAAAAATGGTGCCTTTTGTATCTTTTCTGTCTTACTCATGTAAAATTTTCAAACATAATGATAGAAGTTGGTTATGCATGTATATAAGCAATTCTGATTCCTTTGATAAAATTCAAAGGTGAAGGAAGCTGCTAGCTCAAAGCTCCCTAAACTAAATGAAATAATATTTCATCACAATCTCCCTGTTGAATGAACACTTTCTGAGTGATCCACCAATGGTTCTATTTAAGCATCAATTTCTTTTTTAAATCACCAAGGGAAGGGGGGGAGCCAAATGACTTATATTTAAAACTATTTTTAGGAAGGAGAAATCATAAACTCTTTGCAGCCTGTATTAGTACATTGTGGAAATGAACATTGGGTTAAGATTATCTTTAAAAAAAAAGATTTGTCTTTGGCTTAGAAAAGATTAATTTGTAGGCATAATACTATTTTGATCCTGGTAAGCAACATGTATTCATGTTGCAGATCCCTGTTTAAATCCTCTGCTCAATATTTCCATCACTTTTAACCAGCTGAGAGTGCTCTTAAAAATTACTTTTCTGTTAGAAAGACAGCAACAACAATGCTAACTTTGAATGCTCATTGATAAGATGTATGTCCTTTGCAAGCCCTGCTTCCTATTTAGCTTTCCAAAAATGTAAGCCATCTCTTGAAAACATCCCTCCATGTCTTGAGATTATAATGTAATGTTGGGAAGGCACCAGAGGGATATCTGTGTATAGTTTTCCTGAAAGAGATGCATATTGCCCTTCAGGTGTGACCTTTTTCAGAAACCCTTTGTAGATATATTTGGCCCAAGGGAACAAGATGGTCCCATTTATCCCAGTAGCCTTTAACTTTAATCCCCTTGCTTCCACCTTTCCTAGTAGCCTGGAGGTGGGGGAAAGCTTGGGAAAGAGTTTCCTTTTGTGGTTCCTGCAAGTTGAAGAAGAATTCAATCCCGCAAGGCAAGTAGTGTATCGGACTTGCTACTGCCATGGCCTCCCTGATAAACCCCTGCCCAGGTCTCCTGAAAAATGCCAAGGGGAGGATGTTATGATGCAGTACACTCGTCTCTTTTCTGTTAGACAGACAGAATATGTGTTTATAATCTACCTTTCCCTGTTGGGAACTCAAGATGGTTCATAAAACAATTAGAACAATGTAGTACATAAAATAAAAAACTTCATAAAATACAAAATTTAACAACATTTAAAGAAATAACGATATTTAAAGCATTTAAAATTGCACTCCCCTGAACTGAGCATAACTCAGATCGGGTACTGGAAACATTTAATTTAAACTCATGGAAAACTTATTCACCCCCACCACCCCATTTTCATTTCTGGTGCTCTCTAGGGTTCCCTTTGGAGGCCTTGGAAAAGATGGGGGGAAGCCTTTAGTAGTAAAGAATTACAACTGAATCTCCACTGAGATCAGGACCATGAGCAGCAAGCCAGCAGCATTTTCTTTTTACTATCAATTTCTCCCTTACCCCTCCCCAGTACTAAGGCTCTCTGAAGCTTCTCTGAGGCAAAAGGGAGCCTCATAACCTGAAAAAAAAGTGTGTGTGTGTGTGTGTGTGTGTGTGTGAGAGAGAGAGAGAGAGAGAGAGAGAGAGAGAGAGAGAGAGAGAGAGAGAGAGAGAGAGAGAGAGAGAGAGAGAGAGAGAGAGAGAGAGAGAGAGAGAGAGAGAGAGAGACGTTTTCAATGAGTTTAAGTGTTTCTGGTGCTTGATCTGTGTTAAGCCAGTGTAAGGAACAGAATTTTGCTCAATGAATATAGAATTCCATAGTATTGTCGATGTTAGCCCCTTTATTAACAGAATGTCATTCTATGTATTCCTTGCTTTCACTGCTTGCACAGATGTAGAGTCTAGTCTCCCTTCGTCAGACCCCTCTCCCTAAATGTAGGAGGGCAATATCTTCATTCTATCCTGTACACCAGGATGATAATCTCTCACTATCTGGCTGCTTCTCTCTTCTAACATGCCTGGCAACCTTCCACCACAAGTACTCCATTTAATACAGTTTCCTTGCACTTTGCACAATGTACTCTGAGGCACAAAACAGCAGTGAGTTTTTTTTCCCAGGGGAGTATGTATGTGCATCTATTTCCTGAAACGTTCCATCACTTCAACCTAGTTGCACCCATATAATTTTTCTGCCTTTTGTTCCTTTGTGTAAACCTGGACCAATACAAGTAGCCAGTAAGGGGAGATGCCAAGCATCAGCCGTGAAAGAGACAGTGTCTCTCATGTGCACAGAGTAGCCAGAGAGAAGGTTAACCTCTAGAAAAGAGCAAGTGCTCTTGGTCCTGAACCATCTGGAGATCTCCTGTCTCCTGTGAAAGAAATGTGGAAGGAAACAGCTATCATTTGCAGAAGACAGAGCTTCCCTGTCGCCTGCTCCTTCCCAGTCCATGCATAGATAGGTAGTACAGAGCCAGGGGAAATTAGCAGAACTGTCACAAATGGCCCACAGATTGCAGCCAAGAGTTGGTGACACAGACTGAACTGAGACTATGGAGCAGATCTTTAATGGCCTTTATTATTCCTGCTGTAGCTGAATTTCAGCAGCAGGCTGGAACCCTCTGATGCTGGAAGAGAGCATAGATTAGCATTTCCCTTTGGCGGCCTCTTTAGCTGCCCCTCCAGCAACGATGTGGCAGGCCAAGAGGATCAAAATGGAATTCACATGTCTGCTACTGTTGTGGGAGCAGATGGCATACTTGTGCCTCAGAGTCAGGGAACAAGAGGAAATGAAGAAACTTTTGGAAGGAAACAAACAGGACAGGGAGAGAGAAATCTGATGTTCTGGGTAAAAAACCCCCCACAACTCTGTGAAATCTAGATTACCAGAAAAAATGAATGTCAGGTGGTAGTTCTGCATTAGCAGCAATATACAGCTGAAAGAAATGGAAAGCATTCATGTCATCTTTTAAAATCTTATTATCTTTTATGAGGTGTGAATATGAAGTGTGAACTAAGTAGAATGGCAAAACTTTGCACCCACTTTCTTGTTTTCTCTCATTTGGCTTAGAGCACAGATTCCCTGGTATGCTTTGGACTTTCATCCCAGAGTAACTGCTGGGTTTGTACCTCTGACAAAGATTGGTGCTTTGAAGTAAGAAAACTGAGTACCACACAGAGGTGTGTGCTATGAAAGGGTCTCTAGAAAATAGCTACTTAGAATATGATGGACATAATTTTAAAAACCCAGTGGGTGGAGAGATGAAAGAGGAGGCATTTTGTGTAATAGGCTTCATGATTGAATAAAGGTATTTTAAACAGATTTGGATACAAATTCAGTAGTCTGAGTGCATATTATCTACCTTGATATACATTCCAGTGACTGGAATATACGTTCTCTTTTCCTCTGGAATATATATCTCTTTTCTTCTCATCTTGCTATCCAGTGACTGGAATATACGTTCATTGGAATGCAATGAATGTATTCCAGTCACTGGGTGGCAAGATGAGAGGAAAAGAGATAGGCAAGAAATGATTCTGATGATTAGGCCCATGGCAGGCACTGGACTAAATAGGTTGAAGGAAGGTTGCTCTCTCTCTGTGGAAGCAGAGAAATTCAGTGCCATTCGTACTATTAGCTGGAATTAGGCGTGGGCACGGACATTGGTGTGTTTCATTTTTATTAGTATTTCTTAAAATTCTCACATGTCTTTGTTTTAGGGATGAAAGCTGAATGTCACAGAAACAAAAACTGACAGATCTGTCCATCAAAGGCCAAGGATCTGAGTTTTCAAAAGTCTGAACATGTGGCCCTCCTATATTCAGTTGAGCTTGTGCCAGTGTTACAATAGGAAGAAATTGCATTACCTATTGAATTTGGCTGGTTATAATGAAAAGGCTATTTCATTTCAGTTTGTTTTTAAAGAAATAACCAAAATCCACAGATTTCTGCATCTCTGGGAAGAAAGAACTTGAGGTTCAAAACAATTGAATCAGGAAGAATGCTAAATGAAGAGCAAAAGTTAAGAACATCTTTTAAAATTGTCAGCTTCTGCAATATTGTTCAGTCCTTTCAGGACTGAGGAGATCAGCTGTTCTCCTTTTTTTTCACCAATATCATGTGCCTCCTTGACAAGGGCTGGACTCGATCATACATACAGCCCCTTCCAGCTCTGCAGTTCTAAGATTATATTATCAGGAAAAACAAAAAATTCACCAAAAATGTTTTTTACAAGAATATTTTATTGTGCATAAAAATGTGTACTACTGCAAAATATGTTTTCGCCCATAAAAGCTGCCTAGAGTGGTCTTAATTGACTAGATAGGCGGGATATAAATAAAATAAATAAATAAAAGCATTTTTCACTAAAAAGGAGGTTGAAATGTGAAAAATACAAAGGAATTTTCATAATATTGCCCATGGGGAAGAAAGGTTGTATAAATTTTCCTTTCTACCTGCAGGAATAAAAGGAGTGAAGATTTATATCAAGATACATCATTGTAACATTTATTGTTTGACAAGCAACTAAAGCGAATTTCAGTTTTAGGAGACATGCAGGCAGCATGATTTTGAAATCTCTATCATCGGCCCTCAAATTCTTCAACCTTACCCAGAAAGGAAGGTCAAGAAGGGAATTGTCTGGTGTAGATATTGTTGACAAGAGGTTCAACGGGATAATTAATCAGATCAAGCATATCTGCAGAGCTGATCAAAGTGTAAAAGTGAGATGTTTAATGTCTGATAATAGTGCAATTTAGATAAAAGGGACAAAGATGAAAGGAAAAGTCAAAAGGACTCAGGAATGGCAGAAATTGGCAGATGGGTGCCAGTAAATATGTTTTAAATTGTGGTTGAAAGGATTAAATATGTGACTTGGAATTTATCACTATCCATTGCAGAAATTAGTTGTCTCAAAAGGATTGTGTAGGAGGACTCTGTGATGCCCTGATTAGTAGAGGGAGTAAGGCTTTTCATTGACTGATGGACGATGATATGAATGACAACATGAAAAGGAAAGATGTAGGGGAAGTGAAGAAGTATGTAATTGTTATATTGATATCCTGCCTTTTCTCCAGTGAGCTCAAGACAGTGCACAAGGCTTTCTGGCTCACCATCTTATCCTCACCACAGCCTTGTGAAGTAGATCATGGCGAGACACTGTGACTGGCCCAAGGTCTTTAGATTGTCATCCACCATGAATCGAGGCAATGAAACTGATGATTGGGGGTGGGCTAGTATGCTCCCCCTCCCAGACTGTATAGTGTTGCTACATTAATGGCTCCTGAATAGAACTGTAGAGTGAAACCTGTGTAAATCAGGAGCGATCTTGCCATTGCAACAGTGGTTTATATGTGCTTTTAATGTTGTGTTTTTATAAACATACAACTTTCCCAGTTTAATCAGAGTGCAAGAAATTCAGTCCTTACCAACAGCTTTTTGAATTGTTAGAACATGTCACTATCAAAATCTCTGTGCATAACTTTTGAAACGTACCAAAATCACTCTTTACTCTTGATGTAATAGCATCTTTAATTAAATTCTTTGCAACATTCTCTTACATTTCGTGCACTGTAAGCTCAGAGGCGTGTATATGGGAACATATATAAAGCCATAGGTAGTATAATACTGAATCTTGAGCAAAGGCATAGGTGTGCGCTACTTCTTAATTTTGCTTTCTTTCCCTGAATAGTTTGAAAATGAAATCATTTTGAAATTGGACCATGAAGTAGAAGGAGGCCGTGGAGATGAGCAGTACCTACATTTGTTTGAGTCAATGTAAGTACAACCTGGGGATATATTCTGAATTATAATGTATAAGACTGCTGTATTTTAACAGTATAACAGTCAACTTTTAAAGATGTGGTGAGATATAGCTGAAAAAAAGCTACATGAAACATTATAAGAATTGGATCTGTGGAAACAGAGAAAAAGAGAATTGCATGGAATGTGAAAAGGAATCTTCTATGATCAGTTGCCCACTACTGGATGAGAATCTGTAAATGCCTCCTTTAAAAATTATAAATCCTGGCAACAGAAAAAGGGCAAGCAGACCAATAAAAAAAATAGGCGTACACAAGTAATAATAAGAAAGACATGCTTGAATGCACAATAACACAAGTAGGTTATTGAATGAAACCCCAAAAAGTACAAAAAGCAATACAGTAGGAATAATAGGGAAATATCCATGTCAAAGAAACTTACCGCATTTCAGTCAAAAGGTTGTCCTCAAGGCAGGAAAAGACAAGAATGCTTCAGGAAAGAGGAAGACCAAATATGAGATGAACTGACTCCCTAAAGGAAGCCACAGGCTTGAGTTTGCAAGACCTGAGCAGGGTTGTTGAGGGCAGGACATTTTGGAGATTCATAGGATTGGCAGAAGGCAAATTGACAGCACACAACAACAACAACAACAACAACAACAACAACAACAACAACAACAACTACAACAACAACAACAAACAACAACAACAACAACAACAACAACAACAACAACAACAAGAACAACAACAACAACAACAACAACAACAACAACAACAACAACAACAACAAACAGGACAGGAACTAAAATTTTATCAAGTCTTCTCACAAAGTAATTTTTCATCCAGAAGGAAGTCCGCTTCACATAAGTTTAAGTAATAATACGCCTGAAATGTTTACAGTTTTGAGCCACTCAGGATAATAAAGTGAAACGAGCTCCACTGGTCCATACAAAAAGTCCTTCCATTTTAACATCCTGCGGTGGCCAAAGAGTTGCTTGTGGGAAGCCTGGAGAAGTAGTTCATAAATTCACCAGCAACAATACTGAGGGACATTCTTTATCTGATATAGAGAAGCTGAAATGTGATTAGTAGCTTCATCCTCTAAGAATTTATCTCCTTTTGAAGCCATTTATATCACTATATCTTACAATTCATCCATTTATCTATTTTATATGTAACGTTTCTTCTAAAACTGAGATCCCAGGTGGCTTACAACATGGTTTAAAAATATAAAATTAAAATACAATACAGTTACAAACACTGCAATTAAAAGTACAAGAAAAATGGCTTCTAGTGGTTTTGATTGAGGATACCGGTCATTAGACAGTATCCTTTAGCAATCATGATCTGTCTCACCTTTTCTTAACATACATTTGAGCAGCTATTCTTCTTAGAACTTGGTTGGGCAGGGAATTGCCTGGCTGAGCCGGAACCGGAAGCCTCAGTGTCTGAATGTTCGAAGAGGATTCATCATCACAGCTTGTCATCCCTTAGCAGCTTAGAGCCTATTAGGGAATTAATAATTCCTAGAACTAGGTATGTTTTCAATATCTAAAGGAGTTGTTGATCTCAAAGACAATAGTATAAGTATATTTTATGAAATGCATCAAGTTGCATCTATTGACTTTCCTTTTCAAATCTCAATTTGTTGCTATGGCCCAGTTCTCTCCTGCGCCCACTCCCACCTCCTTTTTCTCCTTATGAACTAGGACTTTGTTTCCAAATGAATTACTTTCTGTTTTACAGATGGATGTTTATGTGCCATTCTGTAGTCTAAACTTCATGCTTGAAGGCTGCTACATGCACCACTTTGGCAAAGAGCAGCACAGTAGTCAGAAGGGAATTATTAAGGCTTATATAGATAGAGATTTGTGAATGGAGGTCATGCAAGAATTATGGGAAATCATGATTAGATAGGCAGAAGTTTTGTATTTTCTGTACCATAGAGCCTTTTGCAAACACTGACCACAGATTTATTAGGAACTATAGTAGCAGCAGCTTTCCAATTAGAACAAGCTTTTTAGAGAAACACACATTTAACCAGGATGTAGGGGGGAAATGATGGGAAGAACATCCATAGCAGTTGTCCTTTACAGAAGCAGTCATTTTGGGCAAGAGATGAAATGTGCCTGTAGAAATATATCAGCTTGGAACATACAAAGCAATGGCCTGCACTTTCTGAATTATAGCAATTCGAAGAAAATACCCACAAAAAACATTGCAGTATTTCACCCTGACACCTTTCAGTGCTGCTCAACTGAATTGTTGCTTTAGATGGGAGAATCTAATGAAATTCACCATGTTATATATGCCCATCTCTATCTTTTTCCCTGTCGGATTGGAAATACTGTAGCTTGAGTGATTAATTGGGGACGTAACCCCAATATTGTGCTCTGAAGTTTCAGAGAAGCAGCATGCCATCTGAAGTGAGGGCTCCATATGATGGGAATAATAAGGTGACTACTTGTTTGTAAATGAAATGAGGTGGAATATATATTTAGTTAATTTGCTTAGGCTGATCTGCTGCTAGTGTGCAGCTCTCCTATCCCATTAAGTTCTACTCTTCTAACAAGAAGAGCAGACAGAAGACATTTTGCTATTTGAGCTGAAACGTTTACTGTACTGTTTCACCTCCCTCTTCCAAAGCCTGGTACATAGCTCTCAAAGACAGTCATGTAAACTTTGACACATGAAGCAGAAAAATCTCAGAAGTGCCTCTTCTTATCTCCCAAAGTAAAACCCCAATAACAGCAAAGATCAATAACTAATAATTTGCTGCTGTTTTATTAACTGAGAAACCTGAGGCTTGTGGTGGGCACCTCACCTCAGTTTATGGGAGAGTTGGCCATTCCAGGCAGAGCAAACTCAAATATCCAGGTGAATACACAACATGAACCTCAGTATTACCATATAACTCTAAGCTTATGTGCAAAGCTAGATGAATGTGAAAAGCATGTCTTTTTAATTTTTTAAAATTAATATAAAAATATAAAAAACAAATTAAAGAATGGATTGTGCCCTAATGCTTATCCAGAAGAGATTGTGCATAGAAATGCAGGAAGCTGACTTTTATCAAGACAGAAAATTGGTCCCATTTGCTCCATATTATCTGCATGGTTTGGTGATGAGATGAATCTGCAAGGTTTCCAAATAGAATTTTTCTAAGATGCTAGGAGATTCAGGGGCTTCACCTGAAGTCTTCTGTATGCAAGACATAAGCTTTGCTGCTAGCTGCAACCATTTCCTTTCTGAATGGGCCTCTTGTGTCACAACCTGCCTGCATGTAGGAATCTAACATTCAAATTAAAATCCACTTTCCCTGGTGTGCAAACTTTGGAGATCAAGGAGAAGTTCATTGCAGCTCTCCAGAACTTTAATCAAGGAAACGGCTCCGTTGCGTATGTGGAGAAAGTGAAAGCTATGTAGACAGAATGAGTAATTTCTCTCGCTGTGGACTGAGCTGGAAACTACAGAATGTCAACAAAGTGTCATTAGACTGGGTTTGGAATTCAGGTCCCACTCATACAATCATAGAATAGTGAAGTTGGAAGGGGCCTACAAGGCCATCAAGTCCAACCCCACCGCTTGATGCAGGAATACAAATCAAAGGATATCTGCCAGGTGGCTGTCTAAGTTTCTCTTGAATGCCTCCAGTGTTGGAGCATTCACTACTAGAGATGGGGGTATTTGTATATGAATATGAATATCCTTGCACAGGTGGCGATCCACTCTTGTCCCATGCAGTGAGGCTTGTCCTCCTGCCTCCTGCCAGGAGTAGCTAGCCAATCGTGATCTGCAGAGCCATTGGAAGAATTGTGGCAGATTGGTGAGTGGACCGTCCGGCCCCATGGGGCTGGACCCTCATTATCGCCACCTGTGTGGGGATATTCGTATACAAATACCCTCATCTCTATTCACTACCTCTTGAGGTAATTGGTTCCACTGTGTACTGCCTTAGCAGTTAGGAGGTTTTTCCTGATATTCAGTCGAAATTTGGCTTCCTGTAACTTGAGCCCATTCTTCAGTGTATCCTGCATTCTGGGATAATTGTGAACAGATCATATCCCTTGCTCCCCCATGCCCCGAAATGAAGACACAAGACAACAATTCTTTGGATTTAAATATGGGCCACACTTTATTAAAACCAATTCAGATTCAACCAATAAGCCAATTGACCAAGGATAAACCACTATCAAATGCCAACAACCCTTCTCCAGTGTGGGATAGGCGAAAAATCCCCTCATCCAAAAGCTAATCAGGATAGAGGTCAAAAATTCCTATCTGGACCCAAAAAGGTGACCCGAAAAACACACAGTAGAAAGAGGGTGCCAAAAGTGAAAGAGGGCTAGCAACGGGCCGGTGCCTCCTTATATTGCCGCCACCCCATGCCCCAAGTCACATGGCCCATTTGCTTGCCTCTTCTGGAGCCAGGGGAGCAAAACCAGCTGCGCAGATCGAGGGCGCAACCGCACCCCTCCTGCGCGTGTAACCTTGCTCCCCCATGCCCCGAAATGAAGACGCAAGACAACAATTCTTTGGATTTAAATATGGGCCACACTTTATTAAAACCAATTCAGATTCAACCAATAAGCCAATTCCAAAATTGAGGGAGCCTGTGGTAGTGCGAGGAAATAACTGCATGGCATCCAATAACTCCTTATCAGTCAATGGGCGAGTCCCAGGCCCCAGGTTCCAGCTGTCTTAATGACCGGAGAAACCTGTCAGGCCTCAATTAAACTCCCCAGACCTCGAGCCATCTGTATTTGATGACTGTCAGTCCGAAAGTGGCCCAGCACATCAGCCGCCTCCGGCCCTGTAATCGCACGATCCCAGAGCTGTAAGGACTGATGCGCTGTTGGCTTTATCATAATTATAAAAGGGACACACCAAGACAACCAGTTATTCCCACACTACCCGCCAAAGCATGAGGACTAGCATTGGCTATGTCCCATTTTCCCACCAAGCTGACCAAGCTCCACCAGCAGGCCCCCTCTTATATCCTCCAAGAAAATGTCC